TTTTTGCCTTTATGTTTACGCATCTTTGTTTTTGTTGTTATTTTTACCTTTGCCTTTATCCTATTCTTCATTTATATACGTAGTCACCTTTACTTTCATTCTTGTATTGGTCTTTTCCTAAGTGTTATTCTTTAACCTTTTGTTAGCAAATTTTTGTTAAATTTATACCATATGCATACACATAAGAAGCACTTGTTTCAGCCCCAACCATTTCCGTTGCACCATTTCCGTTGCATCACTTCCGTTGCATCATTTCCGTCCCAACCAGATCCGTGTGCAATTTCCGCTGAATTTACCAATTTACTCCCAACCAACCAACCGCCGCTAAAGAAGTTTCACTTCAAAAATACGTCTCTTTTTTATCACAAATAACAATATTCTGATGTAGCGTTTATGAATTTCCAAAAAGATTGTTTTTATGAACCACTCTACTATAGATATATTTATCGATATTTTATTTGAAAAATTTGAATTGACAGATATCTTCAGAATGACTAGAATAATTTGCCATTTCGAGAAAATCATTAATTATGCATATTCTGCTGCATTAAATAGTTATTTGGAATAGGTAACTCTGACATAATATTTGAAATTTGCTTTTTTTGTAGCTGCTTAAAAAATACTCTTCAACTCATTAATATTGCTGACGTGCATTTAGATCGCTGGTCCCAAATATTCTAATCTTATTTTAATATTGGCTATAGTTTGCGAATTTTCGCAAATTTAGGAACAATTTCGGTAGCTCTAATAGAATAGCCATTATTTTCCATCATCGTGGAAAAATTTTGTTTATGCAAATGAGTATGGAAACACTGAACAGGCACAACTTCTAGAAACACTAATGAGTTTACTTATGTTTATGCATACAATTTAAAAGTTGCAAATATAGCAAAATGACAAAAAAATTTTGTTCACAATTTTTTTATTTTAAAATAATCGGTTTATAATCTATTATATTTTCATGATATTATTATCATAAATCAGTAACAGTAAGTCTTGCCTTCAATTTGATAATTATTACGTACCGATCGAGTAACATTTACCAAAGTTAAATCGAAAAAATTAAGTGGATTTCCAGTTTTTTTCTAAAAAAAATTCTCTTCAATTGTATGAATAACCTTTAAATAAAAGAACCGGATTACAGAAAACTGTGCCAGCGAGTGACTTTTTTCGTTAAATGCAAAGCAATATCGTCCAATTGGAGAGTCCTCAAAAGGATTTCCCAGGATATGTTAAAGACTATTGCATTTACCTACAGACACCTTTTCACATAATGGAATTAACTAAAATATTTATGTATATCTAAACACTTATTGCACGTCCCTACTTTCATACAACGGCAAAAATGTGCTTCTCTGGTGACTAATGAAACCATTCCGCACAAATTTTCAATACTGCATAAATAGACTTAAAATGGGCGTTTCTCACCCTAATTGTATTATGTTCATGTATGCAAATACTTATATGCTTGAAACTACTATTAACTTGTCAAACGATTCCTATTCTTTGACAATACATTCATTCACAATGAACTTGAAAACTGGTCATTTTAATGTTATATAAACATCCGAAAATATTAACACGTTTGAAATAAATCTCGTCTCACTTTTTTGTATTTTTCACTTGTTTGCTGAAGTAATGAAGAATTGAAAATTCATAAGGGAAAATTATAGTTTTTGTAAGTTTTGTCTTAATATCGTAAAAACGTATAGACTTATTGAAAAATGATAAATGAACGTGAGGTACTAAATTTAATAGCCCTTAATTTGATATATCGTTCTGTTCATAACAATAACGCATTCAATAGATATTTCAAGCCAAAGTTTCATTTTCAACATTTATACACTTTGATTCAATTGCGCGGGCTAAAGATAAGTTTTAAATTAATCTTTCTTGGCCAATAACAATTGGCTTAGACCTAAGACATCATAATATTACTATTACAATGCGGTCAAATGACTTTTATTTTCCCCCATACAAAATCGACCCAGCCTAACGTACAAGCATAAGCCTATTTGGTTGCCAAATACAGCGCATAGCTGCGCGAAATATCTGTACATCAGTGCCGATCAAACACGGGCTCACAAAGGCAAAAGAGATGTGTATGAGCGACGTGACTGCGCTATACCACATACATACACACATAAACGTATTTGAGCTAAACAGCGATCACTGCCCTGCAAAAATTTGAGGACCAGGTGGTCCACTAGGTCGTGGTTTTAAAGTATGTGCAAAAGGACCAGGTTGCATACTAGTAACTTGTTATGCTGACCTGGACCACTTCAAACGTAAAAACTGATATATGTGTTGAGAACCACCTCTTCGTGCCCCATCGGCAACAGGATTCGGTTGCCGAATGTGCCATTGGCCAAGAGGAGTAGTTATCCAGGTGGTCCCATGATATGCAGTGGTGGACCAGAAGTGGTCCCGTGTTATGCAGCGTTGGACCAGAGGTGGTCACTTCCAATGACATCGCAATGTTAATGTAACCATATTTACTCCATATATTTGGACCATTTTGGTTACTAGTGTTGGTTACAAGGTAGCGTGGTCCTGTACTAGTATTTAACCTAGTCCCACTTTTTGCAGGGTGATTGAACATGCTAAATACATACATATGTATGTGTGTACACATTTATAACCGAAAGGCAAAGCATCGCTTCGAAGTCATGTGCAGTATGTGGTTGACACAACAAACTAATCATATGTATGTACATATGTATCCAAGTATGTCCATACACAGAGTTCAAAACAAACGAAACATTTCACGAATGATTCGTCCAAAGACACCAACTTTGCAAAGAAAAAAGAGTGCAAACAAAACGATTTCTGTTTCGCTTATTGACGAGCATCAGCGTTGCCGTTTTGGTCCAATTGGACCAAAATTGGTAGGTTCATTCTCCTTTGGTAGCTTGGTTGGTTTGATGAACCTTTTGGTAGGCAAAAATGTTTTGAAAATACAACCGAATTGAGCACTAAAATTTGTTCGCTTAATTTGGGTTTACACGTTCAAAACATTCCTTTCACTTTGTTCGCACGTATACGATTTCTTTGTTTTTTCTATATTTCATTGAGCAGACAATTTTCTGCAAACAAGAACTAACTTCCCAAAGCTATGATCGATCAGCTGTTGAAATAGAACGAGAAATTACTTATCGCCTTGAAAAAAAAATTGATGATAGGCAATTTGCAATGTGTGGGTGCATTGGTAAAAAAGTGCGAGTGTATGCAAATTGAAAAGAATTTGGGAATTTTTTGATTGAACTGTATAAAATGTCTGATTTTGTTTTTTCACGCAAAAAAAAAAAATTTTGAACAAATCAAATTAATCTCAAAGATATTTACATGTTTTGCAAAATATTTTTATGGAATAAGTAAATTCTTTTATTTAAAGGCACGAATTTGTTTTGTTTAACATTAAATTTTGTATGAATTGTTAACTAATACTGTAAACAATAATATGTGTAGTTTTTATTTTGGCTGTTAATTTGTGCTGAAAATCCCGTAAATTCAAGAAATCTAGCTTTAATGAG